CAGTACTTCCAGGCTGGTCAGAGGTCTGAGGCCTTCATCGTGGACCTGCTGTGCTGAAGCTGACCCCTCAGTACTTCCAGGCTGGTCAGAGGTCTGAGGCCTTCATCGTGGACCTGCTGTGCTGAAGCTGACCCCTCAGTACTTCCAGGCTGGTCAGAGGTCTGAGGTCTTCATCGTGGACCTGCTGTGCTGCAGCTGCAGGTGTTTCTCCGTTCCAGGCTGGACCCAGTGTGCAGTGGATGCAGCAGACTGGCCGTAGGGGGGCTTCGAGGGTTCTGCTTGACTTTAGGTGTTGTTAACAATCTGCATCTTGTGAGCTCTGCGCTGCAGACAGAAGGCAAACCTTTGTCCAAGTGAAAAGGTTCTGATTCTTCTGCTGGGCGTTCTGTATCTGCTGCTCTGTACAAGCATCCTGGCCGTCTTTTCTCCCAGTTCTCACCTACCGAACAGGAAGTGTTTATGTAGCTCGGAGGGAATGTGTGTCTTGATCCTGCAGCTGCAGCCTCTGCGATTCGAGGCCATGTGTCCAAACGCTCTCCTGCTACCGTGCAGACGGCTGCAGCTTCAGCTCACAAGCTCAACTTTTGTTTCTTTGTGGCATTGTTCATAAAATGCAAAAACATGTTTCTGCAAACACATGAGCGGGGAGTGTGACGGCGCTCCGCATGCCCCGAGTGGGAGCTCCGTCCTGAAGCACCGTTCTGGCGTTACAGCTTTAGGCTGTGCAGATTTATTGCAAAGTATCTCTTATCTAGACTCCTAAGTAGACAGAGTCGTAGCTCTTATTAGACCTCATAAATACTCCACTGCAAAAACATCTGGACAGGAGGGAGAGGGAGGATCGTATTTTCTCTCCGAGTGGCATATTTCATGGTGTGACTGTGTAACGCATTAGGCTTCCCCGGCCTGTCGTCGTATCACATTACTGTCACCAGTCAGCCGATGGAGGCGTGCTGCAGCGAGCCGTAAGCCATCCCCAGCCTGCACATGACGTACAGTCAGAGGGTCATCAGCAGTAGACCCAGACGGACCCCTCCCGGAGCAACATGGGATCAGCAGCCAGTCATTTTAATGTTAGCCTCCAAACCGGACCCAGGACTCCCCTCTGGAAGGCTTCCTGTGCCAGCCTGGAGCGGACTTTAATGTCCTGTGTGTTTAAATTGCAGAAGCTTTATTCTTATGATGCTGGAAAGCTTCAGCAGTTTTTGAGGCTTGAGGGTGGAACTTCAGGCTTTTCTGTGCCTTCATGAGACGCAGTGGAGGCCTGGAAGAAGCATCCAGGTCCTTGTTAGGAGCAAAACTCCTTGATTCAAGTCAAAATCCTCCTCAGGTGAAAGTTCAGCAGATTGTGTGTTAGCTGTCAGCAGTAAACAGCTGCTCGATCTGATGAGATGATCCATCCTGTGACCCTCCTCTGAACACTGTTCTTTGGTCAGGTATTGAAACATGTGACCTCTTTGGCCTTTCACGCCTTACCTACATGACACCTGTGAAGCGCAGAGAGGAAGCACTGCTGCGTTCCCACTCAGCTGTTTTCATCCACATGTTGAATCTGCATATTTAAATGAACACATGCATGAAAACATGCGACCAGCTTTGGATGGAGACTTGACTTGAAACAGCTGGCATGTGATGGGCCCACCGAGCTCAGACACTGGAAGTCCTCCATGGTCTATGAGCTGGTGTGTATTTCTCATGTCAAGTCCTGACCTGACCAGTAACCAGTCAGCGACTATATGAACTGTGAGATAACTGCAGTGGTGTACGAGGTGCGTATAGACAGACTGGAAGCAGGCTGTCCTTTTCTGATTGTTAAGCACAGGACCAGGTGTGGCTGTGTCTCAGCATGTTATTACCCATAAAGCTCTTCTTCACCAGTGGAGTGGCCATTTGAGAACCAGTGCAAATATGAGAGAGCAAAACAAAAGGGGGCAAAGCCTCGTGGATTCAGGTACAAACTTCATCCGACACTAGAATGAGAACCTTGGAAAAGTCTGAAGAGCCTCCGAATGTCTCCTTCCTGCTGTGGGATGAGCAGAACACGTCAGTGAAATACAGCCTCCTCACAGGAAATGTTCTCAGATTCAAAAGTCCGTTCTGTCCTTCCTCGCTTTGTGTGTTTCTAAAAAAACACAGAAGTGCTTTTTAGACTCGACTGCTGTCATCAGATGAGTCTCTGTTCTGACAGAACTCCAACACTGACATGAGCATGTGTCTTCTCCTGGTCCAGTCTTTGCCTAAAATGAAAACTGTGGCCAGACTTTTGGTGCGTTGTAGTTCCCAGACGTGCAGCAGAGGGTGAAGGGGTCGGACAGCCTGGGTGTGGATGGGAAGGAGGCGTATGTGTGATCATGTGTGTCAGAGGTCAGTGGAGCCGTTCACAACTCAGCCTGGTGCTACTTCCCCTTCGTGGTCAGTCGGTAATGTGGAACATCAGTTTCAAGTGTTTTACCACCTAAAAATGAGTCTTTTCAATCTGCCTGAAGGTCACGTCCCCCCTTGTCTTCCTTGTCAAGTTGGAGGCTGCAGCTCCTCTGAGGGGTTCGGCTCCTCCAGCCGCCGCTCTGCAAACACATCAGGTAGGTGTGAAGGAATGCTGAAAAAGAGCAGCGCAGGACGGAGCACAGCGGACACCCACATCCAGCTTCGTTTTTCAACTCACAGTGGCCCTTTTCATTTAGCTAACACGCAGGAAAGGAGGAAAACGTTACTGATGACGGAGTCGGGATGGATCACCTGCTGGAGACAGCAGGAGCAGCGAGTTCAGAACAGAGAACCGGCACGAGGTCCTGAACAGGACGGTGCCCATTGAGGAGAATACAGAGAGAAACCCTGTTTTGTGGGTTTTAGATGGAAAATGAAAGGCATGATGCTCAACACCAGTTTAAAACCAGTTTAAAACCAGTATAAACACGAATAGATCAGAGGATAAGGATTACCACCGTTAGCAGCACATTTAGCTCCAGTAAACACAACAGCCTGATGTCAGCTTCTATAGCATCAGCGTCGACCTCAGACATGAGGTCTGGCGCCCTCTGCTGAGCCACCTGCCTCACTACCACCTGGACTTGAATTGTGGTTGGTCGTTTGAACCCGGAGAACTTTTTGCAAGAAAAAAAC